TCCGTAGTGGTAGCTCTCATGGAGGCAGTAGTAGTGGACCTGGTTCTCGCACATGTGGTGATCGTAAGTGTACTCATTGTGGTTCCCAAGGTCATATTGAACCTTGGTATTGGCAGAAGTGTGGCAAACTTGATCATGCGCATCAGGTTATGGATGCTTCATCCTCACAATCACCCTCGTTTTCCATCGGTTCTGTTGCTTCTCCAGTTGATTCTCATGAGACTCTCATTACTCAGATTAGTGAGCTTTCCGCTCTTGTCCAGTCTCTTCGGCCTAGTCTGCCTTCATCCTCTACTACTACTATGGTTAGTTTAGGTAATGTTGCATGTGTGGCCTAGTCTGCTTAGCCTTGGCTTCTAGACTCTGGTGCTAGTTCCCATATCTCTGGTAATTCTTCTCTTTTTGATACTCTTCGGCCTGTTGATCATACTATTATACTTGCTAATGGATCTTCTCGGCCTGTTAGTAGTCAAGGTCCTCTTTATCCCACTCTATCCTTTTTCTTACCTTCTGGTCTTTATGTTCCTAAGTTTCTATTTAATTTGCTTTTTGTTAGCCAATTGACTCAAGCTCTCCACTGGTTCATAACCTTTTCTCCCACTTCATGTGTTTTACAGGACCTCCAAACTCGGAGAATGATTGGTTCGGGGCATGAGAATGATGGCTTATACTTTTTAGATACTAAGACTTCTCCTTCTCCTTCTCCTTCTCCTTCTCCTTCATCTACTATGTTGAGTACTACTATATCTCCTCTTTAGTGGCATTTTTGCTTGGGCCATCCCTCTTTGGCCAAGCTCGAGTTAGCGGTTCCTGGTTTGAGTCATGTCTCTAAAATTGAGTGTGAAGCCTATCAACTTGGAAAGCATCACCGGAGTTCTTTTCCTAGTCATAGTGTTAGTCATGTGTCTGAGTCGTTTGCTTTTGTCAATACAGATATCTGGGGTCTTTCTAGAACTCCCACTGTTAATGGGTTTTTTTATTTTGTTATTTTTGTGGATGATTACTCTTAGATGACTTGGTTATTTTTAATGAAATAGCGCTCTGATTTGCCTTCTATCATTTTTAAGTTTTATAATGAAATCTTTACTTAATTTGGGAAATGTATTAAGATATTTCGGTCTGATAATGCTTTAGAATATGTGCAGTCTATTGTGACTACCTTTTGTGATGATCGTGATATTATTCATTAGACTAGTTGTTCTCATACATCTCCTCAAAATGGTATTGCAGAGCGAAAACACTGTCATTTGTTAGATGTTGCTCGCACACTAATGTTTGATTTGCATGTCCTTAAACAATTTTGAGGTGATGCAGTTCTCACCGTTTGTTTCCTTATTAATCGCATGCCCTCTAGTGTTGTCCACACATCTCCATATGATCAGTTATATTCCACATCGTCTCTTTGTCCCCTCGAGTTTTTGGTTGTGTTGCCTTTGTCCATGTTCTTAACTCCGGTTTGGATAAGTTATCTCGTTGTGCTTGCAATTGTGTTCTTAGGCTACTCTCGTACTCAAAAAGGGTATCGGTGTTATCATCCCGAGTCATGTCGACACTTTTAGTGCTGATCTTACCTTTTTTGATTCCACTCCTTTTTTCTCATCCTCTAGGCACCAGTTATCCACTGATCTTCTGTCTTGTCGTGAGGGGGAGCCTGCCTCCCTCACCCTTACTCTTCTCTCTTGTGATCCTTCCTTCTCTTCTTCTATATCTTCTCCCTCTAGTATCACCTCTACCTCATTTGCAAGTTTATCAGCGGTCTCAAACTCGTCGCATTGTCTTATGGCCCGACCAGTGCATCTCTTGCGTTTGAGGTTCCTGCCTCCCCTGTTCCTTCTGCCAATATGCCCTCTGATGACTGTCCTATTGCCCTTCACAAAGGTAAACGTACTTGCACTCAGCATCCTATTACTAATTTTGTTTCTTTTGCTCGTCTCTCTCCTAGTCTTCACTCTTTTGCTTGTAGGTTGTCTAGTATTTCCATTCCCCCGTTCATATCAGTAAGCTATGTCCATCTCTGGTTGGAAGCATGCCATGGATGAGGAAATGCATGCCCTTCATCAGAATCAAACATGGGAACTTACCCCTCTACCTTCTGGCAAATCTGTTGTGGGTTGTCATTGGATTTATACTGTTAAGTATCTTCCTGATGGGACTGTTGAGCGGCTTAAGGCTCGCTTAGTGGCCAAAGGCTACACACAAACCTATAGTGTTGATTACCTAGAGACTTTCTCTCATGTGGCTCGTCTTAATTCTATTTGGATCCTTCTCTCTGTTGCCGTTAGTAAGTCTTGGCCTTTATATCAACTTGATATCAAGAATGTCTTTCTTCATGGCGATCTTCAAGAGGAGGTCTATATGGATCAGCCCCCTGTCTATGTTGTTTCTGGTCATGAGTATCTTGTTTGTCGATTGCGGGAAGCTTTGTATGGTTTCAAGCAGTCCCCTCGTGCTTGGTTTGATCATTTCAAAGCTATTGTGATCACCTATGGTTTTAGCCGTTCCACCTTTGATCACTCTATTTTTGTTCACCACTCGTCTACTAGGAGTATTGTTCTTATTGTCTATGTCAATGACATCATCATTCTGGGAGTGATTGCAATGGTATTGCTGATTTGAAGCGGTATTTGGAACGACAATTTCACACCAAAAACTTGGGTCGTCTTCGGTATTTTCTTGGCATTGAAGTTGCTTTCTCTTCTCGGAGCTTATTTCTCTTCCAACGGAAGTATGTTCTTGATCTTCTCACTGAGGCTGGCCTCTTAAGCACTCGTCCTAGTGATACTCCCATGGATTCTAGTGTCAAACTTGATGGTGACACCAGGGACTTGTTTCTTGATATTGGTCATTATCATCAGTTGGTTGGGAAGTTAATCTATCACATTGTCACTCGTTCCGATATTACTTATGCCGTAGGAGTGGTTAGTCAGTTTATGCATACTCCCCACCAACCTCATTTTGCTGCTGTGTGTTGTATCTTGCAGTACTTGAAGCGTGCCCCCGGTTGGGGTTTGCTCTATCAACCTCAGTTTATGCATACTCCCCACCAACCTCATTTTCCCTCGTTGTCAGCCACCAGCTTTAGTGATGCTAATTGGGCTAGTAATAAGACTGACCGCCATTCCACCTCCGGCTATTGTACCTTTGGCTTTTCTGTTCCCACTCCAATGTGCATGTCTTGTGATGTGATAATCAAGCGGCTATCTTCATTGCCAACAATCCCGTGTTTCATGAACGAACCAAACATATTGAAGTTTATTGCCATTTCATTCGTGATCTTTTACTCTGCAAGCAAATTGTGACTCCTTACTGTCGTTTTGAAGATCAATTAGGTGATATTCTTACTAAGCCTTTGGCTCGATATTCGTTTCATCATTTATTTGCCAAGCTGGGCATGTTTGATCTCTATGCTCCAGCTTGAGGGGAAGTGTTAGAGTAGTTCTTATTTTCTATTTTATAGTTCTTTTGTTAATATTTACTTAAGGTGAGGGTACGATGGTCATATCACTAGGTTAGGGTTTGTATATATATTTTGGCTGATGTAATTAATAGATTTTTCCGCATATAAAATTCTCTCTTTTCTCTTATCTCTTCTTCTTCCTCCTAAACCCTAACCTTAAATTGCTTCACTATACATTCTAACTGACCCAAATGAGCACAACTGTTCTACACACACACAAAGAGAGTGAGAGGTGAGGGAAGTGAGAATTCCGATGACCTTGCGAAAAGCTTCCAATGACTGGCAACGAAGATGAAGAGGTATGACTACGCAGCCAGAAGAAGAAGAAGAAGAATAAGCCATTGTACCTAGTTTTCAGCCGGTTATTAATCTTTAGTTTCCACAGTCCCACTCACTCTCACCTTTGGCTAGTAGATGATGATTCTATGTCTGCCCCAATTCTTCAACCCTGCTTCATGTGGCAGCTTTTCACATGCAAGCTGATTTCCATGTGCTGAGGTATTTTGTTTTAGCTGCTTTATGTTTTCTTATGTTTGAATGGGCTCAAGCATCAAATCCATTAATCTTTAGTTTGGGTAAATGGGACTGGATGGATAAGAAAAATAGAAAGACTTTTTCGTGAAGGAGAGATGACCACTATGATCCATTAAAAATGTTTCTATGTATGGATCATTTGATGTGTACAGTACCGTTGCTTTCTATGTATGGATCTTTGATTAGTACAGTACTGGTGCATTTACTTGTACTGTAAAATCCACATCCATCTGAAGTTGCTTTCATTTTAATTTTATAATTCATGCTTATCACATAAAATAAAATTTGTTCTATGCATAGTCACCAGACCTGTTGCAGCCTGCCCAGCCCTCTATTTGGTTTGAATGGATGTGCCAGTGATCCAAAGCTGTAAACCTGGCAAAGTATGTAACTGAGCCAGTGAGCTGACCCATCAAAGTGGCATGGTTTTTTCCTGCCCGGTCAATGTGAGCTGGTTTTAAAGAACCATCTGGGTTTCATTTTCATAAATCTTAAAAATGTCTGAACTGAAAGCTGAACTCCCGACCTTAAAGTTGTAATTGGAATAAACAAATTTTACATAAAATCTTACTTCATTAATTATTGAATTAATTCTCATATGAACATGGCATACCTGAAGATGAAGTTTGACCAGCTTTGTTTTGTAGCATAATAGTTTGATCAAGGAAGAAAAAAAATTGTATTCCTTCCAATAGTCACAAAAGTGTGTCAGCTTACAATCACCTTAAACATATAGATAAAATAAACAAGTAAAAATACTTGTATATATACTACAAGCAAAATAAAGTAACTTTTATGCATATAATTATATATTGTGCATTTTTAATTGGGTTTAATTATTTATTCTAGAACATATATTACAATCTCCATTGAACCGATATATAACATTTTTTGCAAACTTCTGCTAAACTGATAACTAATGGTTTTTCGGATACCTGGTTCTTATTTCTGCCCTCGGTCTTACTTTCATTTATCTTATCTACTCTTAACCCTTGAATATTTGCTGCAGGAGAGTTTATTGGGGGCAGAGTTGAGGAATATTAAAGGACAGGTATTAACATCTGGAAGAAGTAGCAGACAGCCTGCTCAGAAACAATTCATAGACTCAGCAAGCTTCGGTGATTCTAAAAGTATTGAGGCATCCACAAGTATATATATGGATGAACTTTATGCCGTTGATTCTACCTCTGTGCCTTCCACTTCAAGGGTAGCAGAGGTAAGACTTTTTGTCTAAAATTTGGGCATTTTTTAAAAAGAAAAAAAGAAAAATTCAAAAATCTGGAGAATAATTATGAATCATAAACTTTTCTTTCTCAGACCTAGTTTTATTGTATGGAACTGATTGCAAATGTTCTTTTTAAAAGGATGGAGTTTGATTCTCAAAAGTGATTCTGAAATTTCAGGAATAATTTTATAAGAAATTATTGAAAGTGACTCTACGGTTAACATTTGTCCTTTTATGTTCTCTTTTCTTCTTTGAAATTATTCTTCTCTTTAAAAAATGAACGAAGAAAATTAATGCCGTCAATAGTCATTTGACTTGTGCACAAATTTTCTTTGTTGATTTTCTGATCTTAAGTTTGTCACAATGGTTGCAGGTGTTAGCATCCTCCACTTTGGTAGAATTAACTACACGTCTTGACTTCAAGGAACGACGCACTCAGCTGATGGAACAACTTCACAACCTTGATTTAAACTATGGGACTGCTTCTTCACAAGATTTTGCTTATATACCAGCATCTCCTTCATGGAAGTGACAGATGATGATGGCTTCTCAAGCCAGATGAATGGCTGGCTTTGTGCCATTTGTACATCCTTGGTACTATTGCATATAGTTGTGTGCTTGTAATCCCACATACACGTATTCTCCTTTTTCCATTTAGCATTTTTTTCTTTCCTGGCGATTGAGACTGGTCCTGGTTGAGTGGGAGTTTTACTTAGAAGAAACAAATTATTATTATTAATTTTTTGAGTCGTTTGTCAAGTGAAACTATTATTTGTTATATAGATTTATTCCATGCAATAAAATGGTGTCATTGCTATTTGAGATGCTTTGAAGTGATTTTTTTTGTTGTAAATATTGACTCTTTCTTTAAACTAAAATATTCACTTGTTTATTAATGCTCTTTTTCACTGAATTGGGCAACATTATTCATCCTTTCTACATAATATCAACCACATTGTTGCTTTAGTCTCTTGTGGAGTAAATGGATGTGTTACTAGCTCTAGTAAAGAGAACAACTCATCCATTCCATGTCACACTGCTATGTCTCAAGTGGGTGAGGATGAGGGGAGGGGTCTATGTGTTCGGCAAACCAATACCGAACTATTCGTAAAACTTGGATCAATAAAAACGTAAAATAAAATACAAAAAAATAAAATAAAAAATCAAATAGGAATGCTAGTTGGAGTATGTCGAGATGGTTATGAATTAAAAAAACAGAAAAACATATCAAACACTCATTTTAGAATATGGGTGTTGTCACCATAATGTATCATAGATAGTGCGATGGTTGGACTTGTTGCAGGTGAGGAAAAACTAGGGTGGTGGTTGGAGATGGCTGCAATGGTAGCTGAAGATGGTAAAAGGAAGAAGACTTGTCGCAGGTGAGGAAAAACTAGGGTGGTGGTGGAGATGGCTTGCAGTGGTAGCCGAAGATGGTAAAAGGAAGAAGTTAATGAATGGAGAAGAGAGGGAAAAGAAGACAATGTTAGGAGAGGAAAGTAAAGTTGGGAATAATGATAGAGTTGGCATATTGAAAAGTGTAAATAAACAAAATTAAAATTTTGAATTTTTTTAATGAGTGTGATGAGTCCAAAAAGTTGTGTAAATAGAATTTACCCTACCGCCTATTGTCATATTCTCACTGCAAACAAAATATGTAAACAAATATTCACAAAAATTATATATTGAAGATTGCCTAATTTTTTTTATTTTTTATTTTTAAATTTTGCACTTGGGTTTTTTTGAGCACACTCTAATCCATGAGGCATTCAACCACTTGACTTAGGAGTGGACTTAGAGCGGGCTGGGCCAGGCCAAGTATATCTACCATCCAAAACTTGTTTTAGCATGACATGAGTCTAATTTAGCCTTCTGAAGACTGACAAGAAAAATGAATTGAGACTTTTTAACTAAGTCGAGTTTCAATTGGTTCTTTCGTCTAATTTTTTGTTAATTTTTTTCTACATGTATATTAGGAGATTGACATATGTCCTAGCTTCCAATTTGAATATAATGACTAAACTAAAACTAAACTTAAAATATATGGATTAAATTATTCAATTGAAAACAATAGAGATCAAAATTGAAATTTTAGTTTAACTACTAAGATTAAATGTGTGATATACTAATGAAGGGTAAATTACACTTTGTACTCCTGCACTTTACACAAAATCTCATTTTAGTCCCTACACTTCAAATTGTGACACTTAACCCCCTACACTTTTGGTCAAGTGTCACATTGACCCTTCTGTTAATAGTGATGTTAACAGAAGTTATCCTTTAGGGAGCTAAGTGTCACAATTTGGATGTGTAGGGACTAAAGTGAAATTTTATGTAAAGTGCAGGGGTGCAAAGTGTAATTTATCCTCACATGGTTTTCATTAGGGGTGAGCATGGTCCGGATTGGATCGGATTGGAATAAAATCAGGACCAATTCGTTATCTACGGATCCTGAAAAATTCGAACCAATCCAATCCGTTTAAATCGTGGAACCAATCCGAACCAATCCATTTAAATACGGATTAGATCGGTTTAGGACCACGGATTTATATAATTAAATAACAAAAAAATATATATAACATTTTATTTTCATAAAAATATAAATATAGCACAATATTAGTTTCACAATAGCAACATGTCTTTTCATAATAGCGACAAACTGTTCTAGAATTTAAACAACCATAAAGAAACTAGTTTCACCATAAGTATTTAGACTATTATAAATTAACACTAAAAGCTAGCAAACAAAATTAATAAAAGAAGATACTATGCAAGTTTAGGTTTGGATTTAAGTTTTATATGAAATAAAAGAAGATACTATGCAGGAGGGTGTATAATAAAAATATAGACTATTTGTATACGGTCCGGATCGGTTCCAATCCGGAACCGTGGGATTCAATCCGAAACCAATCCGTGAACTACGGATTTTTAATTTTTCAATCCGGAACTGAACCATGGATTCAAAAATCTAATCCAAACCTATTGGATTGGACTGGACTGGATCGGATTACGGATTTCACGGATTCCTTGCTCAGCCCTAGTTTTCATGTGACTAACCTTTGATAATAATGAGGCTAACAGAAAGGCCAAAGTGACACTTGACCAAAAATGCAAGGGGTTAAGTGTCACAATTTGATGTGTAGGGGCCAAAGTGGGATTTGATGTAAAGTGCAGGGATGCAAAGTGTAATTTACCCACTAATGAATATATCTTTTCAAATTTAATTTCACCCAAAAAATGGATGAAAAATGTGTCTTTTTTTAAAAAATTATTTTTTTTTTCATAGACAAACGCGATAAATGAAAAAGATTATGATTATTAGATCGACTTAATTTTTTACACTGATAATAAAACCATATAATTCGACAAAATGAACGTTTTGAATTATTGAAACGAGACCAATATTAAGCTCTCATAAGTTCAAACATGACAATCACAAGCTCTGTTAGAACCCATCGATCCTATGTGTAATGTGTGTATTTTAATGTATAAATAAATTAAACAAGTAAATAATCCATAAAATAATTATGAAAATCAAATTCTAAATTTAATGCTTACGGCGCTTTAAGATTGCAAAACTTTAAGTCGAGACTTGTATTGAATACAATCTCCTTAAAGTAGATTTCGCCCTCGCTTTGGTATTTCGAGATTTACCAACGTCTACTTCTCAGGATGCAACGACTAAATCTTGGAAATGTGGCACTACCAATTCCAAGCCTGGTGAACCAAACCAGTGCTGTAACTCTCTCTTTCTCACAGACTCTTCCTAAAACTATTTGCAGAAAATATGCAGATACAAAGAAGGACGAAGAACACAAAAGGAAGAAATGACTATAAAAGAAATTTGAGATCGAATCAATGAAGATTTAAGGAAATGGTGAAGGCTATTTACAGAAGTATTCATAGCCATTTAGAAGGGTCATGACTCTTGGGTCATACCCTTTCATATGAAAAGACACTATGAAGGTTTGTACCTTTTCATTCGAATAGAGAAGGGTCATGACTCTTGGGTCACACCCTTTCATATGAAAAAACACCATTGAGTCACACCTTTCCATATGAAAAGTCACCATGAAAGGTTGCATCCTTCCATACAAATGGAATCAATTCTCATTCACTTCTAAAATTTTCCAACAAGCTCAACTCCTAACCTGAAGCCCCCACAGAACCTTAGGCCTTGGGCCGCTACAAGTTAGAGAGAAAGAGTTGCAAGGAGGTGAAATTATTTTGAACACGATTGTTTTTACTCTTTTTTTTTTCGATATTTTAAGAACTAAATATATTTAGGAAGCTTTTATTTTCACACACTAAATTCTCTCCACGCATATCATCCTCCAAAATACGTACTTAATGATTTTGAAATATTATGTTTTACTCAATACACAATTCATCATACTTAAAATACCATCATCTTTTTTTCTTTTCTTTTTTCATTCAAACCCTAATTCCCAACCTAACTAGGGGTGTAATTTGGGCCCGGCCCCGCCCACTCGGGCCTTGCAGGCTCCTGCCATTTTTCGGGCTGGTCTGGCCCGACCTACGTATTGAAAAGTTTGGCCCAGTCCTAGGTCCACTCAAATTAGGGCCTCGGGTTGGGCCTAGCGGCCTTTTTTTTTTATATGAAAGATAAACAATAGATATATTATATATATAAATTATTTATGATGGATAAAAAACAAAATAAAAATTGTACTATAATACTTTAGTTAAAATTAATGAGATGTTTGGTTATGTTTCATGTGGTGGTATTTAATTATGTATGACTTATGTTTTTTTTTGTTATAACTAAAAAAGTATGAAATTATGTAATTTTCTTCTATTGAAATGAATAATTTTATATATCTCAAAATGAAACGAAATATTGCAATCATTAAATTAAATAGATAACATTTATTTGATGAATAATTTTTATTTCAAAATGAAATAAAATATTACAAAAATTTATATCATTAAATAAAAAAGATTAGATTATTGATGATGATAGAAAAATCGCATCACTATAGGTCAAATATATCCCAACTAGGTTGGCACCTATTAGCTTACCAATCATTTGCATTATACTCCACCTCAATAATCTAATAGATACATTACAAAATTGAATAGTGAAAAAAAATTGTTGATTAATTATCGGAGGAGGCAGACAATTCACTCGCGTTGCCCGAGTATATATCGTTCAAATCGCCTTGAATTATCTCATTTTCACTATAATTTTGTTTTCTCGTATGTACATGCATACGGTCTCTCGATATTATTATTGTCGCAACCATTTGAGGTGAAAGTTTGCTACGGTAATCTCTCAACACTCGTCTATGCTATTTCAGAAGCAATTGTAGCAACGGTTAGTATATCACGGGTCATTTGTAAAAACACAAGCCGCATAGGTTAATTTTGTTTCCATCCATCCAAAATTTTAAAATCATCGTTATCATCCACTGGTGGACTATCCAAACAACATTGTAATTCAGAACTACTTACGCTTATATGTTGAGTTATTCTTCCACTTTTTATTTTTATTACTAAAAAACACTTGATCTTACACCTCAAGATAAGGTTGGTGTAGTGTGTGCATTTTGTTTCCACCCATCCAAAATTTTAAAATCATCGTTATCATCCACTGGTGGACTATCCAAATAACATTGTAATTCAGAACTACTTAGGGGTGTGCATAATACCGCCGAAACCGCCAAAACCGCACCGAACCGCACCGCCAAGGCAAGGCAAATTCGTTATTATTTGCCAATCGAACCGCCGGTTTTTGGTAAGAAAAATGGCAAATTC